GGACCCATCACTGTGGCATGTGGTCCTTCTTTCCCTGAAGGCCGGACAGCTGGAGGTGTGAGCCTCCCACCCAGCGTTCCTGGCCCCCTGGCTCCCGGGGACAAGTCTGGAGCTCCTTCCCTTCCTTGGCGTCCTCACAGCTGGAAGTCCCCGAGCAGTCAGGACGCCTTGTGATCAGGCCCCAGAGACTGTAGGGTGCCCCCACTGCCCCATTTCACAGCACAGTCTCCTCCCTCCCTGAGGGGGGAACGATCAGAAGACCCCCACCACCCCAAATCTCAGGAGGTTTCCTGGCCCAGGTCCAGCCTGCAAGCCTGGAGACACCTCCTCCCAGAAGGCAGGAAGACTGGGGCTGGGTGTGGGGGCTCATGCTGCTAAAGTCAGCACTTTGGGAGGCCAAGGAAGGAGGATCGCTTGAGGCCACGAGTTCGAGACCAGCCTAGGCAACATAGTGAGACCTCGTCTCTGCTAAAAATAAATAAATAAAATGAGGCCAGGCACGGTGGCTCACACTTGTCATCCCAGCACTTTGGGAGGCCAAGGCAGGCGATCACAAGGTCAGGAGATGGAGACCAGCCTGGCCAACGTGGTGAAACCCTGTCTCTACTTAAAATACAAAAATCAGCTGGCCATGGTGGCGCATGTCTGTAATCCCAGCTACTGGGGAGGCTGAGGCAGGAGAATCGCTTGAAGCAGGTCCCGGGAGGTGGAGGTTGCGGTGAGCCGAGAATGTCCCACTGCACTCCCGCCTGGGCGACAGAGACTTCGTTTTAAAAAGATAAAAATAACTAAATAAAAATGACAGCAGGGACGATAAGGCAATGGGCCCTATCCCAGCCCAGGGCTCTGTGGGGTGGTCCTGAGCTGGTGGCGCTGGGATCAGGCCCTTTGCAGCCGGTCTGAGCCTGAGCGGGAGGACCCCCACCCCCCACCCACTGCCGGGAGGCAACACCCACTCTTGTACCCGGTGATAAGTGCCGCCCCGCCACTCCCTCCTCCTCCCTTGCTGGGGGGCACCGGGGTGGTGCCTGCGCGTGTTCACATCCCGGAGAAGTCAAAGGTGCCCACTTTGGGGACAAATGGAACAGGAGTCCGGAGGCTGGCGCCGAGGTCCTGGCCGAGTCCACGCTCTGCGTGGACAACTGAGGCCTCACTGTCGCCCCCGGCTCCGGTGCGGACCGCTCCCTGGTGGGAACTCCTGGGCCTGAGTTTTGCTGACAGAGGTGGTTCCGGTTGGTGGGGGCGCACACAGTAGGTGTGGCGGAAACAGGCGCAGGTGGAGAGGCCCCCCTCCTCCTCCACCCCACAGCAGAATAAAGGCCCCAGTCAGGAGGCTGGCTGGCTGCTTGTCCCCGCGCCAGGGCCTTGGAGGCAGCACCCAGGCCTCGGGGCTGGGCAGAGGTGGTGGCCGAGTGGGGGCCCCCCACGGGCTGCCTCACCCAGTGACTCAGCCCAGGACGGACCTCCTCGGGGAAACAATGGAGGCCTGTGGTTGCCGGCAGAGAGATCTTTGAGCCTCAGTTTCCTCATCTGTACAACAGGTTGCAACCACACAGGACCTCACGGTAAACACAGGTCTGGAAAGAACCACATTCAGGACTAGACAAGGGACCCCTGATGGGCCATCTTGCCAGGGAGAGGAGGGACCGAGAGTGTCACCATCCGCAGGGCTTCCATGCCGGGTGCAAGGCTCCGTACACCGTCAGCGCCCAATAATTGAATAGTCCTGCCCCGAGCAGGGGCGCACGCCTGTAACCCCAGTACTCTGAAAGGCTGAGGCGGGAGGATCACTCGTGACTAGGAGTTCAAGACCAGCCTGGCAAACAGGGAGAAACCTGGTCTCTACAAAGACACAAAATTAGGCCGGGCGCGGTGGCTCACGCCTGTAATCCCAGCACTTTGGGAGGCCAAGGCGGGTGGATCATGAGGTCAAGAGATCGAGACCAGCCTGGCCAACGTGCTGAAACCTCGTCTCTACTAAAAATACAAAAATTACCTGGGCATGGTGGTGGGCGCCTGTAGTCCCTAGCTACTCGGGAGGCTGAGGCAGGAGAATCGCTTGAACCCAGGAAGCGGAGGTTGCAGTGAGCCGAGATGGTGCCACTGCACTCCAGCCTGGTGCCTGGCGATGGAGCTAAACTCTGTCTCAAAAAAAAAAAAAATTCTTCTTTAGAAAGAAAGGAAAAAAAAAATTGGCCAGGTGTGGTGGCCCGTGTCTGTGGTCCCAGCTACTCAGGAGACTGAGGCGGGAGGATCACTTGAGCCCAGGAGGTCAAGCAGTGAGCTGTGACTACACCACCTCACTGCAGCCTGGGTGACAAGAGTGAGACACTTTCTCAAAATAACAGTAATAGGCCGGGCGCGGTGGCTCACGCCTGTAATCCCAGCACTTTGGGAGGCCGAGGCGGGTGGATCACGAGGTCAAGAGATCCAGACCATCCTGCTCAACATGGTGAAACCCCATCTCTACTGTAAATACAAAAAATCAGCTGGGCATGGTGGCACGTGCCTGTAATCCCAGCTACTCGGGAGGCTGAGGCAGGAGAATTGCCTGAACCCAGGAGGCGGAGGTTGCGGTGAGCCGGGATCGCACCATTGCACTCCAGCCTGGGTAACGAGAGCGAAACTCCGTCTAAAAAAAAAAAAAAAAAAAAAAAGAAAGAAAAGAAAAGAAAAAAATAACAATAATAATAAGTGGTCTGTGAATGGATGGTTGCTTCCCTTCCGTGGGTGAAACTGAAGGGCTACTCGGGGGGCCCCTGGCCTCCACCCGGTGGCTCGGACCCTGAGTGTGAGTGGGGAGTGGCCCACAGTGAGTGAGGCTCCAGCCCAGCCTTCAAGAGACCCCTAAGCTGGAATGGGGAGAGCCAGACCCGGCCACAGACACCCCCACACCCATGGGGTCACAAGGAGGGGCCGGACGCTGAGGACGCTGGGGTGGGATGGGAGCTGCTTCGAGACCCTAGCTCCGGAGAGGCCTCGAAGCAGGGGGCGGTGCAGGGAGGCAGGAATTAGCTGTGAGCACCTACTCTGTGCCCAACGCCCGCCCTTCCACTTTCTAGATGGGGAAACTGAGGTCTAGAGAGTAGCAGGAACATGCCCGAGGTCACGGTGAGGTGGAGAGGGATGAGGGGTTACAGCACACACCCCAGGACCTTCAGCCCTCTCCCTAGATCTGCAGCAGGTGCGGGAGTCTCTGGGCACGGAGGGTCAGAGTGTGCACGGCTCACTTTGGGTACATGGCAGGAGGGGCTGCTGGTTTTGGTGGAGGTGGGGGGGCCCTGTGGCCCCGCCTCCCTGCTAGCCTGGACTGGGCGAAGCATTGAACTGTGATGACCCAGGGGCTCCAGATGGGGGTGGGAAAAGCAGCCCAGGCAGAGGGCACAGCCGATGTGGAGGCCCGGGGTGGGCATGAGTTTAGCAGGTTCTGACCAATGGAGGCAGGGTGGCTGGAGCCAAGCAGGCCAGCGGGATGGTGGCGTCTTCCCAGGCTGGGAGTGGAGTGTAGATTTCTCTTTGGAGCCCTGGGAGATTGCATTTTATTTATTTATTCATTGAGACGGAGTTTCACTCTTGTCACCCAGGCTGGAGGGCAGTGCCACGATCTCGGCTCACTGCAACCTCCGCCTCCCGGGTTCAAGCGATTCTTCTGCCTCAGCCTCCCGAGAAGCTGGGCCTCCAGGCGCTCCCCACCACGCCCGGCTAATTTTTGTATTTTTATTTCGTTTTATTTATTTATTTATTTGACATGGAGTTTCATTCTTGTTGTCCAGGCTGGAGGGCAGTGGCGCAATCTCCGCTCACTGCAACCTCTGCCTCCTGGGTTCAAGCGATTCCCCTGCCTCAGCCTCCCGAGTAGCTGGGATTACAGGTGCACGCCACCACACCAGGTTAATTTTTGTATTTTTGTAGCGGTGGGGTTTCACCATGTTGGCGAGGCTGGTCTTGAACTCCTGACCTCAAGTGATCCACTTGCCTTGCCCTCCCAAAGTGATGGGATTACAGGCGTGAGCCACCGCATCTGGTCAACTTTTTAAATTATTATTTCAAATTATTTTAAAATTTTTAGAGATGGGAGTCTCACTATGTTGTCCAGGCTGGTCTCGAACTTCTGGCCTCAAGCGATCCGCTGGCTGTGGCCTCCCAAAGCGCTAGGATCACAGGTGGGAGCCATCTCGCCCGGCCTTAGGTGGGGTCACTTTTTATTAAGATGCAGACTTGGTATACTAAGATCAGGAAGCCGAATCTGGCCTGAGTTCTGTCCAAACTCAGGTCCAAACTCACATATGCCGAGACGGAGGCTCAGAGAGGCAAAGGCACCGCTCTGGCTCTCCGCGGAGCTCTCTGACCCCGAGCTGGAGTGAGCCTCGGTTTCCCAGCCAGGAAAATGGGTCTGACGTGGCCCCCTACGGGCCAGGATGCCCGCTCCAACCACTCAGCACGAAGAGGCGGACCGAGGAACGCAAATACAACCAAGCCGAAGGGGCCGCGCGGGCGGCAACAGCAACTTGAGAACAAAACTCCAGGACCAACCCCCACCGCTTCTCGCGGCCTCTCTCGCAGAGTCCCGCCTCTCCTGCGGGGCGGGGCCGAGAAGGGACAAGGCGGGGCCTCATTGCGAATGGCTGGCATCGCCGCCCATCAGGCTTTTACGTCTTCCGATTGGCCAGGGCGTTCTGCATTATCTTTCAATCTCACGGTCCTTATCCGCTTACGTCAGATTAAGCGCACCGCTCCGTGTGCCTCCGCGGGCGGGGATAGTCCGTGTTTTCTCCTCGTGCTGTAGCCCGACCGCCCCCACTGCGCGTCCGCGCTTCCGAGCTCCGGGCCTCTCAGGCATCTGGGGACCTCACGAGCATGCTCGGGGGGCCGGGCTGCGAGGTTCGAGACCGAGCCGCCCGAACGTGGCGGAGGGATCCGCGTGGGCCGCCGGGCGGGGCTCGTGGGGGCGGGGCGAGGGCGGGGCCAGCGCGGGGCGGGGCGGGGCGGGGCGGCGCGGGCAGGGGGCGGAACATGTCTCCCGCCGCAGGAAGATGAGGCAGCGGCGGCGGCTGCGGGCGTAGCGGGCCGGAGCCGACGCGGCGGCGGGCACCGCGGGCACCGCGCACGCCGCTGCCCCAGGGACTCCCTGGCCGGCCGCACGCACGGGCCCCGCGGGACGGGACACGCGGGGGTGGGTGGGGCCCGGGACACGCGCGCCGCCGCCGCCGCCCACGCGCGACCCTCGGGGGCCCGGCCGCGACGCCCCTTTGTCCGGGGGGGGCCCCCGCTTCATGCCGCCGCCCCCTGAGCGCCGCGTGCCCGGCCGCGCCCAGCAGGTGAGCCCGGTGGGGGGCGAGGGCCGCGCCCGGGACCCCGGTGCTTTGTGCCCAGGGGACCCCAGCCTGCCCCGCTCACGCTGGGGAGGGGGGGTGCGCGGAGGAAGTCGGGGCGGGGGCGGCGTCGGGGGGCCCCCCGGGGCCGGGGAGTTATTGTTCTCCAACTTCGTGCGGCGCCTTGGGGGCGGCGACGTGGAGGGGCCCGGAGCTCGCCAGGCCCGCGTCCCCCCACCGTCGGGCCGGGTACTTCGGGAAACTTTGCGCAGCCCCGGGCGGGGGCGCGGGGGGCGCCGGACGGGCCGAGCAACTTGGGCGCGAGGACTGGCCCCGCTACCCGGGCGCGCGGGGACCCCGCGACTCCCCCTTCCCCGGGTGTTGGGGGGGGCCTGGCCCGGGCGGCGGAGTTTCGGGGGGAGCGCGCAGGAGGGGCGTCCTTTTGTCTGCGCGGGGAAGGTGCCGCGCGCTGCAGGCGCTGGTCGGGGCCGAGCGGGCCGGGGGGGCGCGCGGGGAACATCTGCTCCGCGTTAATGCGGGCGAGGCGGCGGCCACGCTGCGAGCTTCAAAGGCTCCCGGGCCGCGCCGCCTGCACCGGCTGCGGGGGGAGGGGGTCCGGCTTCCTGGGCCGCCTCCCCCTGGGAAAAAGGCGTTTCAGGGTCCCTTTTCCGCGCTTTGCAAAGTGGCTTCAAACATCCTCCAAGTCTCCAAAAGTCCTTGGGACGCCCCAGGAGTCTCCCAGCTCCCGTAGAAATGCCCGTTTCACCTTGCCACCCCCCCCACCCCAACTAAGTCTGTCTTAAAATCGGTTTCAACTACCCCACAAAACAGTGCGGTTTCGTAGCTCTCAAAGTCAGTTTCACACGCCCTCCAAAAAAGAAAAAAACTTAGCGGGGGAGGGGCTGCGCTGGGGCGCCCGTTTCACACCCGGCCTCCAGTTGGCAGACAAAGAGGGGATTTCTCCACTTCTGAAGTTGGGTCTCCCTCCACCTCGGAGGCCCCTCTCCACCCCCAGCCTGGGAGGTGTATCCCGGGCTGCCCCCGCCCCCACCCCCACCTGGGGACCTCTTGGGGAAAGTCGAAACTGGAGGGGCCTGGAGTAGATTTCTCTGGGACGGAGATTTTTCTCTGCTTTTTCCAGGGGTGGAATGGGAATTGGCAGGTGGATCCCTCATCCCCCATTCTGGTAGAGAGCCCCCTGGGACCACGCGGGGGCACTCTGGTCTTGGGCCCCCCCTCCCATGCCCCCCGTGTAGGACAGGAGAGAGAAGATGTCAAAGTTTTGCTTAAAAATAATTCCCGGGTACATGGTGGCAGTAAAGCAACCTAGGGTTGTGTTTTTTTTCCCCCTCTAATACTACTGGGGTTTTCTGGGGTTGAGGGAAGCTTTGCCGGTCTCTGCATAGGGCTCACCTCCCCCCACTTAAGTCGTGAAGTTTGTAAGAGGGCTTCGTGGTTTTCTGACTTGTGGGTTTCCTTCATGTCGAATTTAGGGGCAACCTGGTCTTCAACGTGCTGTGACATCTGCTGGTGGGGGGGGGGGATGTCACCAAATTTTCCTCGGGGTGGGGTAGGGTCGGGCTGTTCCTCCCCTTCCCGGAGGGGGGCCTGGGAGGAAGCCCAGGGGGGCGGTTGGAAATGAGAGACGTGGTGGAGAAAGGAGAGGTTCTGGCCGCCCTGTCTGCAGTTTAAAATTGGCAACTTGATTCCCCGGTGTTCCCTTGGGGAGGTAGGGAGTTTATATGTGCACACCCTCCCCCCATTTTTCAGACTCCCTGTGGCCTCTGGGGAGGGGTCTCAGGGACCCAGACTCTGGAATTCCAGCTTCCCAGGGCAGGTGAGGAGCTTTTTAAGCGGCTTCCTTGCTCTGCGCTTTTGACGTTCAGCTCTTCTTCCCTCCCTGTTTCTCCCCGTCCGTCTCTCCCATGTCCACCACGCAGGGATTCCAGTCCTGAGGTGCCCACCCTGGCCCCAGGAGAATGAACCAGCCGCAGAGAATGGCGCCCGTGGGCACGGACAAGGAGCTCAGTGACCTTCTGGACTTCAGCATGGTGAGCCAGGACCCTCCCCCAGCCGCCGACACCCCTTGCCCCCAGAGTTCATGGGGAGGTTTTCGGGGCGAGTGTCTGCTGAATACTTGCAGCGATGGGGCCTCAGCTGTTCGGACGGGAGGTCCGGGATGGGGCTGGGGGAGTGGGCTGCTCTCTGGCGGGGACGCTGACAGCCCATGGCAAGGCCTGTCCCGTGGGGATTTCTCCCGGACACAGCATGGTACAGCCCACTGCTTTACAGATGGGGAAACTGAGGCAGGCAGGACTACCCAGGGTCTTCAGCTTCTCTGTGGGGAGGACTTGGCCTCAGCAGCTTGGTCCTGGGACCCCAGTTTGGCTGGCTAAGCAAACTGCGGCCTTGGTTTTCTGATCTGTAAAATGGGTCTGATCAGGATTGTTTACTCGATTGTAGATATAAAAATTAAAGGTAGAAGACCATAGGGCTCCATCCTGGATGACAGTGAGACCCCGTTTCAATAAATGGAAGCAGGGCTGGGCACAGTGGTTCACACGTGCTGTCCCAGCACTTTGGGAGGCTGAGGCGAGAGGATCGCTTGAGGCCAGCAGTTCAAGTCCAGTCCAGGCAACATAGTGGCACCCCATTTTTTTGGTGGGGGTGGGGATGGGGTTTCACTCCCGCTGCCCAGGTTGGTGTGGAGTGGCACGATATGGGCTCACTGCAGCCTCTGCCTGCTGGGTCAAGTGATTCTTCAGCCTCAGCCTCCCCAGTAGTTGAGATTATAGGCATGCACCACCACACCCAGGTAATTGTCTTTTTTTTTTTTTTTTTTTGAGATGGAGTTTCGCTCTCGTTACCCAGGCTGGAGTGCAATGGCACGATCTCGGCTCACCGCAACCTCCGCCTCCTGGGTTCAGGCAATTCTCCTGCTTCAGCCTCCTGAGTAGCTGGGATTACAGGCACGCGCCACCATGCCTAGCTCATTTTTTGTAATTTTAGTAGAGACGGGGTTTCACCACGTTGACCAGGATGGTCTGGATCTCTTGACCTCGCGATCCACCCGCCTCGGCGTCCCAAAGTGCTGGGATTACAGGCTTGAGCCACCGCACCCGGCCGTCTATTTTTTTTTTTAGTAGTGATGGGGTTTCACCATGTTGGCCAGGCAAGTCTTGAACTCCTGAACTCAGGTGATCCAGCCACTTCTGCCTCCCAGAATGCTGGGATTGCAGGAATGAGCCACCGTGCCTGGCCCAAAACCCCATTTCTTTTTTTTTTATTTTCTAATTTTTATTTATTTATTTTAAGGATAGGGTTTCACCAGCATGGCCAGGCTGGTCTTGAACTCCTGACCTCAGGTGATCCACCCACCTGGGCCTCCCAAAGTGCTAGGATTACAGGCGTCAGCCACCGGACCTGGCCATCCCCATTTCTTTAAAAAAAAAAAAAAAATTAGCCAGGCATGGTGGCGTGTGCCTGTGGTCCCAGCTACTCCGGAGGCTGAGGCAAGGAGGATCTCTTGATCCCTGAGGGTTGAGGCTGCAGTGATCTGTGATTGTGCCACTGCACTCCGTCTTGGGCATTAGAGTAAGACTCTGTTTCAAAGAAAAAAAAAGGGAGTGCCCCGTGCTGAGCGGCCCACCCTCTGTGAATGGGGTAGGCACCACCTGGCCCGTACGGGACTCCCCTGGTGGGCAAGAGGACACAGGTGTGAAGCTGACTGTGCGGTTAGTCACACGTGGGTGCTGAAGACGATGCCAGGAGCCGGGCTTGACACATTCTGCAGGGCAGACAGCAGCGCCACCGTTGTGACAGTCACGGTCATCAGGTCATCACTGGGGAGCAGGCAGGCCAGTGGGGAGGGCAGGGCAGCTCCCTGGGAGTCCCAGGCGCTTGGACCTGTCCCTGAACAACCCATTATCCAGCTGGACGGATGGAGGCTCAGAGGGTGCCAGCCGTTGGAAGTCAGCTCAGGCAGGCACAGTGAGGCTGGAGCCCCAGAGCCCCGTCGTCAGGCACTGGCCGCTACTGGGCGTCATGGAGACCCTGGGCTTCGGGGCCACGTGCCGTGCGTGCCTGGAGAAGCCAGGGACCTGGGTCTGTTTCTTCTGGCCTGTCTGCAGATGTGCTTAAGTCCTGCCCCCACCCCCATGCCCCGCAGCAGCCTTTGGGGTTGAAACAGGTTGGGGACGCACTTTCAGTCTGAATTTAACCCTCCCCCGTTAGGCGCAGGCCACCGAGCTCTGTCAAAAACAAAAGTCCCCAAACTGAAACAACACCAGCCCCCGCTGCGGAAAAAAACAGCCCTGGGCCGGAGGGGCGGGAGGGGCCGGGGCTCAGGAAGGGCCGCGCTGGTGTCTTTGAGCCCGGTTTATTTCTGCCTCCCTGGCTGAGTAACCCAAGGTGCAGTTGGGTTGTTTTTGTTAAACTGACAAGTCACAGACCACTGGGCTGGAACGGATCGGGGTTTGGGGGGAGGGGGCGCAGGTTCAGCCCCAGGACCTGCTCCTCACCTCGCATCTCAGTCCGTCTCCCCGTCCCAGGTTGGAGCCAGCGGCCCCTTTCCCAGGCCAGGAAACTGAGGCTGGGCGCAGTGAGGCGTTCATCCTCTGCAGCGTCTCCCTCTCCGGCTTTATCCAGAGCGGGCGCTTCCCCTGCTGGCCGGGTTGCGGGGGCAGAGGCAGTCCTGATTGCTGCCCACAGCCCCGGAGTGGCCCTGTGGGAGAAGAGGCCACTCCGAATAAACGTGAGGGAGGAAGCGGACCGTGCTGCCCAGACGGGGCTGGCTCTGTCAGGGGCAGGAAGGGCCGGGGGCTGCTGGCCTGCGCTGACCTGACGTGCGTGGGTCCCAGGCGGTCCCTGGCGGGAGTCCGGGGCTCAGTCCCAAGCCCAGGATGGCAGCCACGCCTGCCCAGGACAGGTGTCCGTGGGCGTTTGGGTTTCACGGCATCCCATGCAGCCAGAGCCTGAGTCCGTTTCACAGAAGAGGAAGCCGAGGCTCCAAGTGGCACGGGGGCTTTTCTGGGCTGCTCACGAGGCCTTCAGAACCCACAGGACACAGTCCGCGACCCTGTGGCCCCTGCCACGCCAGCGCAGCCCTGCTGTCCTTGGGGGCAAAGCAAATAGAAACGCAGTCGCCTGCAGCTCCTTATGTGGGCTGCCTCAGGCCTGCCTGTCCCCCACGGCTGGCCTGTTTCCCAAATGGGAGAGTGGGTCTCGGATACCAGGGCCCTCAGGGAGACGGGCACACCTGAGCCGGTGGGCGGGGTGCGGTCCTGGGTGAACTCTGCCTCCAGCCTGGGTGCCAGCCCTGCCTGCGTGGCTGTTCTTCCTCTCAGGGGCCAGGTGAGAGTGTGGCCTCCATTTCCCCTTCCGTGGAACCAGGGAGTCGGGGATGGAACCCCATTTCCTGGGTCCTCTTTGGTATGGTGACACCAGTCCCAGGATCGTGGCACAGGCGCCATGCCTTCGCCTCCTGGCTGGCTCGGGAAGGTTTCAGGGATGGTCGGGTTGGCCGTGCCTCAAAAAGCCCCTGGCCCCGATTCCAGCCACTTTGATCCCTCGAGCCCCAAATGGGAGCTTTAAAACCAGCCCCCTGGGGAAGGGCAGGGCAGAGAGGGTTTTGTTTGTTTCTGTGGCAAAAGGTTTTGTTGATGTTGGCTTTTCCGGTTAATGCTGCTAAGCTGTTTAATCTTGGGGGACTTAGTACCCTGGGTACTGGTGACCCGGGCGGTGGGGGGGGGCAGTCCTAAACCCCTCACGCCCAGACCCCGGATCAGCTGTGCCCTCTGGCTTCCTGTGGGCCCGGGCTCTGTCCCATGTCTTCCACCTGCTGCCTGTCTGCGTCTCAGTTTCCCCGCTTGCCAGGCAAACCCATACCCAGCCCTGGTAAGGGACACTGCACCCCACCCCCTGCTGCAGGCCCTGCCGCCCGGGGCCAGTGCACACACCCGAAACAGGGAGCCAGCCAGGCCTCAGGCGTCCGGGGACTCGTGTCCACCTGTCCAGGGTGAACCTCTCACTTTTCAGAGCTGGCAAGTGAGGACAAGTTTATGTCACTCGTAAACATAACCTTGTGTCACTGTGAGAGCTGTTAAGTTGTATCTTTAGTCTAAACAGGACGCTGCGCCCCGCAAAGCGAATGCCGGGAAACAGCACATTTTCCTTCCCGGGGATGCTGTGCCTGGGGTGCAGCGGGGTGGTCGTCGTTGGGAGTTGCCTCGCCCTGGGCCTGGGTGTCAAGGTACAGCGTGGCTGAGGGCCGGCGGGGCCTCGGAGTCTTCTGGTCTCTGGTGGGACGGAGCAGGACAGGATGGGCCTAGTTGGAGGCTGGTTCCACGTCCCTGGGGGTCCCCCGCTCTGCTCCCTGCCTGGGTTCTAGCCGGGATCGGGGTCTGGTTTGCCGCCTGCCCCGCTCACCTCACCCCTCCCTCCCTGCAGATGTTCCCGCTGCCTGTCACCAACGGGAAGGGCCGGCCCGCCTCCCTGGCCGGCTCGCAGTTCGGAGCTTCAGGTAGGACCCCGCCTTCCTGCCGGTGCCGGTGGGCTACAGATGGAGGCTGGGGGAGGGCCGGCGAGCCTGAGGACCCCCGGGAGCCCGGGGCGGGGGCAGGGGAGGGGGGCCTTGCTGTTAGGATGGGGTTGGGTTTGGGCCTCTGTCTGGGTGAAGATCTCCAGCCATCCACAAGGGGGAAACTGAGGCCCTGGAGGGTTGTGGCGCAGAATCGCACCCACCTGGTAAGCCTGTACCGCTTTCCTTTAAGCATGGATTAGGCGCTTGCTGTATGCAGGGTCCAGCACCAGGGTGACTGGCCATCCTGGTTTGCCCAGGATTGAGGGGCGATTCCTGGTACCTGGAATCTTTCAAACCAGAAATATCCCAGGTGGACGTGGAAGAGCTGGTCACCCTCCCCCCTGACCCGACGGTGGGTGGGACAGACGGGGGAGACGTCTGAAAGTCCTGAAAATCAAAGCCAAATCATGGCCAGGACTTCACGGCACCTCCAGCCAGGGCCAGGCTGCCCCAAAGTGGGGACTCTGGGGAAGGTGTCTGCAGAGGGGGTGTCGGGCAGAGCCCTGAGGGTGATAGCAAGAGGCCGGGGAACAGCTCCTCCAGAAGCCCTGAGGCAGCACCGGTGGGGTGGGGGGCGCTGTCACTGTCGGGGCCAGCAGGGAGCCCTGGATGGCTGTGGAGAGAGGGCGGGGTCTGATGTGCATCGTGGGAGGCCCACGCTGGCTGGCTGGCTGTCGGCAGGAGGTGGGGGGAAGGCCGGGGTGGGTGCCCGATGCTGCTTGAGAGCCTCTGGGTGTCTTCGAGGACATCAGCATCTTTCTTGTCGGGGGGCCCTTGGGACCAGCCCTCGAGGCTGTGTCCTTCCCACCTCCAGGACCTGGGGAGAAAGTTCCGTCTTGAAGTTGTCTCTAGGATACCCCCGGGGTGGGCTCTGGCTGGAGGTTCTCAGTTCTGTCTTGGGGTTCTCAGTAGTGGGTGAGGGGGGTCTGTACTTGGGCACCCCCACCCCCATGTGGAGGGTCATCGGTTTGCTACCATCACTGCCCTTCGATGGCCTTCCCCTCTGCCTGAGGAAGTGGCTCCAGGGCTGGCCGGAATGCTCCCTAAGGCGTGGAAATCCCCGAACACCACCCCGCCAGCCCCCCGGAAACAGCCTCAGGAACTGGACAGGCTGAGCTTCCCTGAGTGAGGCAGAGGGTCAAGCCCCGGGGGCTTCCTGGAGGAGGAGGCGCAGCTCCCAAGGTCGTCTGTCCTCATCCCCCTGGGCCTCTGTGCAGGCTTACAGCAGGGCCTGGTGTGGAGGAGGGGTGGGAGGCGTCTTCCCTCGTCCACTGTTCTCTGTCATCCCCTCGGCTCTGGTGCGGACCCCCAGCTTCGAGGCTGGTGCCCGGGTAGCCAGAGCCGTGATGTGCAGGCTGCCTGGCCATGAGAATGCTCCCTTTGGGGTGCCTCTGCCTGGACGCCCAGCCTGGTCCCCGCAGCAACCCTTCGAGTGTTTGCAGATTGGTTTTCCGTGGTTCCTCACAGCTGCCCCAGGAGCTCTGGCCCTGTCCCAACGCTGTAGGCGGGGAGGGTCTTGCCTCGTCCCTGCCACAGCATCGGGGCAGAGACTTTGGCGGCCCAGGGTGGCCCAGCGTGTTGCTTCTCTTGCTCTTGAGGGACGTGTTTTGGCTGCTCCAGCCTGGGACCCCCCCCCCCAGCTCCTGGACACAGCGGGGCAACCCCTGACACCCCCGTTCAGTTCATGTGGTTAACAGCAGCCTGAGCCTGGGGTGGTTCTGGACGCAGAGCCCCAAGGCTGGAGTCGGTGGCACCCCCCTCACTGCCGCCACTCTCCCGGCCCCTGCAGGCCCCCCGGTTCCATCTTTGGGTTCAGTGAGTTGGTGGGTGGGAGGGGTGGAGGGGTCCTGGCAGCGCCGGGGAGCTGCAGTCATTCTCCTCCTTCTCCACCTGTTCTCCAGGGACCCCGGCAAGAGGGGAGTTTGGGGTTCATTAGCAGGATGGAGCCTCAGAGCTGTGCGAACCCTTCCAAACCTCCGCCGCTTCCCTGGAACGGTGGGTGCGGCCTCCTTCCAGGCAGGGCCCGGTGGGCTTCAGGGACCCCGCCCTTCGCCAGTAGTCCCCAGTGCTTATGGGGTCCTCCGGCTGCGTTCTCCACCTGGGCGCCTTCCTCATGCACGTTACTCTAGTACCCGTTTAAGTCACCTTGTTTCTCTTGAACTCGTTTGAAAGGGAACTTCAGATCTGAGAGTCAGAAGCGCAGGCAGGCAGGAAAGGTGTGCCTGAAAATTAACTCGGCGTGAGCTCTTGTCTTGTGAAGAGTCTGCCTGTTCTTCGACATTTATTAATACTTAGAAATCGATGTAAAGAGAGGAGTTAGGTACTGGGTGAGGTGGCTCATGCCTGTAATCCCAGCACTTCAGGAGGCTGAGGCAGGAGGATCGCTTGATGCCAGGAGGTCAAGGCTGCACTGAGCCATTGCACTCCAGCCTGGGTGATGGCAAGACCTGAATTCAAACAAGCAGAAAGGGGCGGGACACAGGGGTTCATGCCTGTGATCTCGGCACTTCAGGGTACCAAGGCGAAAGGATCACTTGAGCTCGAACTTGAAACCACCCTGGGCAGCACAGCGAAACCCCATCTCTAGTAAAAATGCAAAGCTTAGCTGGGTGTGGTGGCGCACACTTGTGGTTCCAGCTACTTGGGAGGCTGAGGCAGGAGGATTGCTGGAGCCTGGGAGGCGGAGGCTCCAGTGAGCCAAGATCGCACCTCTGCACTGCAGCCTGGGCGACACAGCCAGACCCTGTCTCAAAACAAAAGCGAAACAAAAAAGGCATTAGGGATGGACTTAGTGAAAACCAGGATTTCCTGGTTGTCTGGACTGGAAAACATTTAAAACGGGAGTAATTTTTGTATGCCTTCTGCACACCACGTCCCATTTTTGGAAACCTTGAGGCACAGATCTCTGAGTGACACCTCGTCTTCTGCCAAAAAAGACAGGATCCTAGGCCACGAGAGACACCAGGAAATGCTCGCTGACAGAGAAAAGGAAAGTCCTTCCTATTTTTAATTTCCCCGTAGCTTTCTCTGTGCGACTGTAAGTGTAACACATGCTCGGAATGACGAGTCAGAGCAGACACCTCTGTTTTTAGAGAAAACCCTGGAGTAACCTGGCGCAGGGGATTTCCTCTGGGTAAGTGTCAGGGAGTGGAATTGCTAGGTCCGTGGATTTGTTTGTTTTGAGATGAAGTGTCGGTATTTTCACCCAGGCTGAAGGGCAGTGGCACGATCTCAGCTCACCCCAACCTCCGCCTCCCAGGTTCAAGTGATTCTCCTGCCTCAGCCTCCCAAGTAGCTGGGACCACAAGTGCATGCCATCATGCCCAGCTAATTTTTGTATTTCTAGTAGAGATGGGGTTTAACCATCTGGGCCAGGCTGGTCTCAAACTCCTGTCCTCAGGCAATCCGCCCACCTTGGCCTCCCAGAGTGCTGGGATTACAGGTGTGAGCCGCTGTGCCTGACCTCCGTGGATGTTTTTTTACTTAAAAACGTCCCTTGTGGCCGGTCACAGCGGCTCACGCCAGTAATACCAACACTTTGGGAAGTTGAGGCAAAAGGGTCACCTGGGGCTAGGAGTTCGCCTGGCCAACGTGGTGACAGCATGGTCTCTCGTGTGATTGGTGACAGAGCTGATGTCCTTTCTGTCATTCGTTTGATGAATAGAGGGTCATCTTTTCAGAAGCAGAGCCTGTGCGTGGCTTTTTGGTGAATTTTCTGTTTCTCTTTAGAGCCTTTGTTCTTGGAGTGGATCCGTTTTTTAAATTCTGAAGTCGTTCAAGATTCGTGGGAAGTGCCAGAGAGTGCGCTTCTCACGCAGCCACCCCAGGGTACTGTCCTGCTCACCCACCGCCCGTGGTGCCGTGTCAGACCTGGGAAGCTGGCATCGGTACCACCCATAGAGGCTGGTCAGATTCCCCAGCTTCACACGCACACGTGTGCATGCGTGTGTGTAGGTATGTGCGTGTGCGAGTATGTGTGCGGATGTCTGAGCATCTGAATGCATGTGTGTCTGTTGGTGTGTGTCTTCATGTGTGCACGTGTGCTTGTGTGAACATCTGAATGTGCATATGTATGCGTTTGTGCGTGCGTGTGTGTGTGCGTGTGTGTGCATGTATGTGTGCGTGGAGACTTCTCTGCACTTTCGAGACATGCACGTTTCTTAACCCCAGGCATCAGTAATCGGTTCTTCATCTCTACATTTCCTTTTCATCCCTGGGTCTCACTTTGTTGTCCAGGCTGGAGTGCAGCGGTGCAATCATAACTTGCCGTATCCTGGAACTTCTGGGCTCAAGTGATCCTCCCACCGCAGCCTCGTGAGCAGCTGGGACCACAGGCCCGTACCACCTAGCTAATTGCTAAAGTATCTCATTTGTAAGAGGTCTGGGTCAGCAACTCACACCAGTAATCCCAGCACTTTGGGAGGTTGAGGTGGGAGGATTGCTGGAGCCTGGGAGTTCAACACCAGCCTGGGCAACATGGTGAGACCCTGTCTCTAAAAAATTTCGTCTGGGTATAGTGGCTCACACCTATAATGCCAGCACTTTGGGAGGCCAGGGTGGGTGGATCACATGAGGCCAGGAGTTCAAGACCAGCCTGGCCATCATGATGAAACCCTGTCTCTACTAAAAATACAGAAATTAGCTGGGTGTGGTGGCGCATGCCTGTAATCCCAGCTACTCGGGAGGCTGAGGTATGAAAATCACTTGAAACCGGTGGGTGGGGGAGGTGGCGGTGAGCTGAGATGGAGCCGCTGCACTTTGGCCTGGGGGACGGAGGGAGACCCTGTCTGCAGAAGGGAAAGAATGTATAAATGGCGTGTTGCCGTGTTCCCCAGGCTGGTCTTGAACTCATGAGCTCAAGTGATCCGCCTGCCTCAGCCTCCCAAAGTGCTGGGATTTCGCATCTCAGCCACTGTGCCCAGCCCAAGTTTTCACTTTGA